ACACACACGCACACACACCGCCCCCTCCGCGGGAAGTCCGAGAAACCCCCGCGTCGTCAGTTCCCGTGGCCGCGCAGGAGTTTCTCGGAATGGCGCCCCCCTTCAACGCGCACCACGCACCACCGCGCACGCGCGCACGCACGCGCGCACGCACGCACACGCACACACACACGCACACACGCATACACACACGCACACACACACACACGCACAGACACAGACACAGACACAGACACAGACACAGACACAGACACACACACACACACACACACACACGCACGCACACGCACACGCACACGCACACGCACACGCACACGCACACGCACACGCACACGCACACGCACACGCACACGCACACGCACACGCACACACACACACACCGCCGCCTCCCAGCGCCGGGGGGGAGGAGAATCCGAGAAACTCCTGCGTCGCTAGTTTCCCTCCCTACGCAGGAGTTACTCGAAAAACACACGCGCGCGCGCGCGCTCGCGCACGGCGCGGGGGAGGTGGCTCTGCAGGCGTTTCCTCATAGTGCCCCGCTGTGGTGCATTAGGTATTTCGAGAGACTCCACGCTTTCGCAGGGGGGGGGCAGGGGGGCTTCGCAGAGCCACCTCCCCGTCGCACCAGGCTCTGGCACCGGCGCCTTCGGCCATTGGGAGGACGCGAGGGGCGCGCCGATGACCGCGCAGACGCGGCAACGCCCAGACATCCTCGAAGCTCTACGCCACCTATCCCGCAGATGTTTCCAGCTAGCAGACACACATGCGATGCGTTTATTACGCGGCCAGAGATGCGTGGGAAATTGGCCACGCGGTGGCCCCCTCAGATTCTAGGCGACGTTCAGCTGATTCACTTGGGCGGCGACAAGTTCGACGCCCGCGCGCTTATCGGCGAGCAGTGAAGGGTGCTCGCATCATTCAGTTTGTCTTGGGTGACGAGACGCGAATGGAAGCAGACGCTGGACAGGATTCAGATGGGGAGTTCGACGACAGTGTCATCGACACTCCTGAGGACGCTGTCATCACCACCAAGGAAGGATCTCCATCGGCTCTGTCGGTCATACGCAAGGAAACCAGTAGCGGTCTCTCTGGCCACATCCAGAAGGTGATGTTGGCAGCGTGGCACGAAGTCGAAGGGGCAGAAGACCTGCCCCGGGAATTGGAGGCGCTGGAGAGCAACGACAGCCAGCAGATTACCTACGCCGCTGTCGAGCACGCCGCGGCCGGTCAAGGCCGCCGGCCACGCGAGTGGCCCCGGCGCCTCCAGACGCAGCGCCAGCGTCGGGGCATTTATTCGCAGCGCCACTACTACATGCGCGACTCCGCCGTAGACGACTGCGCCACGCTAGAGGAGGAGGGCGCGCGCGGAAGGCGCGCGGCGTGGTGCCTCGACCCAGGGGCGCGCGAAGCATACCTGAGCGTCAACGAAGAAGCGCCCAGCAACTGCGTTGCTGGCGATTCCTGCGCAGCTGTGTTTCACGCGCGCGCCGCCGTCCAGACCGCGGTCATCGAGCGCGACGCCGATCTCGTGGCCAAGGAAAATGTGTCCAGGCTGTCCAACGAGGTGCGCAGCCATCCTCGTGGAGCTTGCCATCTGGGCCACATTCAAATGTTTCGAACTGCGACCACTCAAAGGCGCCCGGAACGGCGTTGACTCCAGGCGCAACTGCAAGTCAAAGCACTGGAAGGCCCCGACAGCAAGACCGCGCGAATCATCGGGTGCCACATGGCGCTCAGAAGCTTCCGCGACACGGGCGCCGGCGCGCTCGAGACGTTCGCGGGGGCAGCCCAACGCGCCGCGCAGCGCGCGCCGTCCTCGGAGGCGGCGCCCCGCCCGGGCCGGGTCCACGTTCCCGTGGGCGTCGAGAAGGCCTCCCTGCAGGGCGCGACGCATGCTGCGACGCGGGAATATCATGATGCACCACGCGAGGTGAACTTTCACTCTGTCGCCCGGCAGCGCAGCTATCCTCAGGCAGGACCTAGCTACGAGTCCTTCGACGAGAGGGCCGAGCGCCTGCGCCGCATCAAGCCGGGCACGGGCTGCAAGGGCGCACCTCGGGCCTTCCCAATAAAGCTCGCCCGGGTCACGCGCTCGCCAGAGCGCGCCGCCAAATCCGCCAAGTGGGGCCCGGGGCTCGAGACCAAGCATGAGGCGTCCAGCAATTGCGGTGCCGGCGACGCAAAGCTCGTGCTCATGTTGGCGCGGCGCGCTGATGATCTGAAGACCGCTGGACTAAAGGGGCGCGCCGACAAGCTCGTCGGCCACATCGAGAGCGTCTGCGGCAAGACGAAGGGGGACCACGATGACTTCACCAGCTGCGGCGCCCACCAACACCGCAGCGCTGACGGCGCCGCGGCGCTCGACCAGGGCGAGCGCGCGATGCCGATCAGGCACGTCGATCTGGTCAAGGCGGGGGCCGACGAGCCCGCGGGAGGTCAACCGCCCGACCTCTTCGCCCCCGTGCCAGGGACAGCTGCTTGCGCCCTGCTCGCCCAGCGCCGCGTCGCAGCGCGCGCTGCGGCGCTGCAGCAGGCCAACAATAAGCTGCTTATACGACGCGTCATGCAGCTCAATTACGCGGCCCTCGCCGCGCAGAAAATCAGGGCGCGCGTTGCATTTCCCGCCGTGGAATGCGCTTGCCAGATCTGCGCGCACAGCGATGGGGCCCTCCAAGAGGAAGGGGGAGACGGGGCACGGCATGGGGGGCGCCGTCTGCGTGCGCTTCGGCAAAGGCAAGGAGGTCTGCCAGGTGCTCGACGCCGCGAGCCGCTCGCGCAAACCTGCATGTAGGTAATCGTTCGGCTCCGAGCTGCTCGTGGCACGCGGCGCAGCTGATGGGTTGCGGGCCCACCTCCTCGCGCTCAACGAGATGGTCCGTGGCCCAGTCTCTGCCGAGGAGATCAGGAAGCTGAGAGGAGGGGGGCTGCGCCGTGCGGGCAACCTTGGTCGTGGACGGGATGTCCGTCTTCCCGGCTGCCGCCGTGGATCCTCTGCGCGCACTTGCAGAGCGCAGCGCGGCAGGCCACCCGCGGTGGCACTCCGACTAGCTCCGCGCCAAGCAGATGGCCAACATGCTTTGGTGCGATACCCGCGACACGAGAGCCGACCACATGACGAAGGGGGGCATCGGCCGGGATACGAACTTGGACGAGATGCGCGGGAAGCTCAAGCCCGACCACGCCGCGGTCAGACTGAGCGACAACAGGCGCAATAATACCGCGCAAAGCTCCGGCCACAGGGACCTCAGAACGGATGAGGAGAACGTTTCGCCGACGGGATGAACAGCCTGAAATATCACTACATCTTGCCGCGTCCCAGTGGGGGCCGCTCTACCGTCGCTTTTCGGTCTGCCGACTCGGCCGTCACTTTTAGGTCTCGCGGCTCGGCCGTCACTTTTCGGCCCGCCGCATCAGCTGCCACTTTTCGGCTGCAGCGCGGAACGTCGGCGGTCATGCGATGTGAACTGCGTTCGCGACTGCGACATGGGGAGAGGCACAGACAGCCGCATATGTTCGCGAATGTGACGTAGCAGGACATACGAAATAACGCCCGCAGAAGGCGAAGTACGTTCGCAAATGCGACATAGTGAATCAAGCAATTGAGGGGCTGATGCCATGAACATCGTTCGTGGAGTAACAGATCTGGGCGTGTAGCACGTTCATCATGTTTGTGCTCTTCCAGTTGTCAGCTCTCTTCGTTCCTCTTGCAATCTTTATGAGGGTCCTGGCCAATAGAAGGCCCCTATAGCTACGCACTTGCTTCTATCGCGTGATGCACCGGCCTGCTGTGGCGTTTTGTAGGAGCTTTGCCGGGAGTAGTACGTGTCCCCCCTCGTTTGCCGCAGAAGCTTCTTGCGTTTGGCACGTTTGGGGGCCAAGGTGCAGTGGGACGCCTCGAAGTCCGGCAACTCTTGGGGCGTGCCGAAACCAGGCCTATCTATTCCGCCGCAACTTTTAATGAGGCTTCGTTGGTTGCAGCACGGCTTGCGTGCTGTTGCCGACGGGGCACAGGCATATTCGTTTGAACACCAGGTTCGAACGGTAGCCTATCACCTGCTCGTGCTTTCTCTGCCCTGTCTAATCGTATTTCTTGTTCGCCGCCTTTTTTTCCTCGGAGGCGCGTAGTCCAGCCGGACTGCGTGCCTTAGTTAGGCCCGTGTTAACGGTGCTCACCAGCTCGCAAGTAGAATAAATGCGCCCGCGTATCTTATTCCCTCATTGTCATGGCCTCTTCCTCTGTTTTTTGCATGTCCTTTCGTATCCTCCATCCTCCCACTCCGCCCCCGTCCCGCTCCTCCTCTTCATCCTCTGCCTCTACCTGTGCTCTGCCCGCAGGAGTAAACCTATTGGAATCCGCCCCCTCGCTCAGATTGCGCACTGCTTCGCAAAACAATACGCAGAGATAAGCGGAGACGAGCAATGCTAAGGAATAGCGCTCAATGGGGCGCGTGCGCGCACAGGGGAGGTAGGAGGGGCAGGATGGAAACGGGAGGTGAAGAGAGCCAGGAAAAGGACAAGGAGGAAAAGGAGGAGGGTTTTTACAGGGCCCAGTGCGGAACGGTCATCCCCCCGCTGCCGCTGTTCCGGCTCCTCCCGCGCCTGCTTCTCTCACTGCTGCTGTTTGTTTCTCCCCTTCCCGTCTTGTGCTGCTGCTGCTGCTGTTGCTGCTGCTGCTGCTGCTGCTGCTGCTGCTGCTCCTCCCACCTTGTCTCTGCTTTTTCCGCCTCTCGTGGTCGTCGTTCTCGCCCTCGTCCTTTGGCCTCCCCCCCTCCCCCCCTCCTCCCTCCCTCCTCCTGCTCCTGCTCCGCCTTCTCCCCCCCTCCTCCTCCTCCTCCTCCTCCTCCTCCTCCTCCTGTTTCTCCTCCTCCTCCTCCTCCTCCACCCTCCTCCTCCTCCTCCTCCTCCTCCTCCTCCTCCTCCTCCTCCTCCTCCTCCTCCACCCTCCTCCTCCTCCCTCGTCCCCGTTCTCGCCCTGGCCCATGCCCCAAGCCCCCTCGTCGGAGGATAAAGGGTGCCAGATCGTGACCAACCCTGATGCGCCGCTGGCGCCGACCCCTGAGCCGGGCTCCTTCGACTGCGAGGTGGGCGAGGACGATTGGCGCATGGGCTGGTCCGTGGGCAAGCGGGACGCTCCGTCCGAGGGGAACGAGGAGGAGGAGGTGAGAGGAGGGGGGGAAAGAGGATGAGGATGATGATGAAGATGCCGATGAGGAGGAGAAGGAAGAGAAGAGGAGGAGGAGGAGGAGGAGGAGGAGGAGGAGGAGGAGTTGGAGAAACAGGAGGGGGACTAGAGGAGGAGTACGAGGACGATGAGGAGGACGAGGAAGAGAAGCAGGAGGTGGACTAGAGGAGGAGGAGGAGGAGGAGGAGGAGGAGGAGGAAGAGGAGGAAGAGGAGCAGGAGGCGGACTAGAGGAGGAGGAGGAGCAGGATCGGAGGAGGAGGAGGAGGAGGAGGAAGAGGAGGAGGAGGAACAGGAGGAGGAGGCGGACTAGAGGAGGAGGACGAGGAGTAGGAGGAGGGAGGAAGAGGAGGAGTGTGAAAGTTATATTAGCAAGGATGTAAGTTATAGGATGATGTTTAGAATTATATATGTGATTGCTCTCGCTCGCTCATGCTTGCACTCTCTTGCTCACTATTGCCATTTGTGGTTTGGACCCGCCCAGCTGAGGCGGGAGGGTGGACGCACCTATCGAACGCTGAGTTTGATTCGGTATAAGATATCCTATCATCTGCCTGTTTCTTCTTGCATCAAGAGGTTGTGGGTGGAGAGACTTGGATCAATATTTACACTGGTAGCGTGAGCTGAATCAGTCCACGGTACGAGGATTTCATACAGAGTGGCCGTGCAGACATTATACTGGCGCTCATTTGCTTCCTCGCGGTGCTTAACCACTGCGCTCAACAACAGATCACGGTGATCGACAAAACGCTCAAAATCATGACCTACAACAGCTTGGACGAGGATCGTTGCATCAACAGCATCCCGGGCGAGCAGCAGAACTACAGCAGCAACGATCTAGACAACTACTACATTGGATATAATCTCAGTAGCATCACAGTCATCAAGATGACGTCCAGGCAGCAGCAGCCATTCAATGACGGCCCCCTCTTCGTTGACAAGGAGGGCGTGGTACACTACAACGGCGACCCATCCTACGGCGAGGAATTCGAGGAGCGTGCAATACTTGGCTACCACGCGAGCGAGGAGAAAATCAAGAAACCCTACGCCATCAAGCTCAAGAACTCTCTGAATGGGCGAGCGTGGACACTCACACGAAAGAAGGCTGAGATAAGTACGCAAGCAGTTTTGGACGAAGCAGGTAATGACCCACTTGCTGCAGTCAAACTGGTGGTAACGACAGTGCGACAAGCGTGTGAAAAGGATCGCGCCACTACAGAAGCAGCAAGCGTTCGAGGAGTATTTCTTCCGAGGTTTTCGCAATCGAACAGGGTCTGTGCCGGACTACATATCGAGGCGAGAGACAGAGTACGAGCGGCTCAAGTCTCTTTCAACGAACACGACAGTCAGCGAGGACCTACGGACATACTTTCTACTGAAACTAGCGAACATCAGCATGCAAGAGCACAAGGCAATCCTTGGCCAATGCAACAGCGAAAGCATCTGGGACGACGTGGCGGCAGCCATGCTGATACAGCTGGACAGCACAGGCCGAGATGATCGTGGACATGGGCGATACGGAGCCTACCCGGTGGACTACGACGACGAAGAAGAAGAAGTTCTACTCGGAGATGAACGTGCACCGTGCGATAAAGACGTTTTCCCGAGTGATGAGGACTACGACTCACTTGCAGCGGACATCGATGAGTTCGAGGGAGTGATTGACGACGTGGGCCCGGAAGAGATCAGCCAGGAGGAGTGCGACACCCTGGCGACGGAGGCTCAGCGTCTTGGCTGGAAAGCTGGACGGCGCAACCACAAGCCCAACTACAAGCGGGCCCGGGAGCGGCTTGCTCAGAGCAAGTCGAATAGAGGCTGGAAAGCTTACATCAACAAGCAGGGCTCTATCAAGATGGACAGCAAAGAGGCGGATGACAAGCTGCAGCAGATCAAGGCGCGCACGAAGTGCAACGCGTGCCACAAGAAGGGTTACTGGAAGGGTGACCCCGAGTGCGAAAAGACGAGGTCACCAGCAAGTGGATCCAGTACGCTACAACGTGGAGGACGAGGAGGCGGACGTGGAGGGCGAGGCTTTCACGGACGACCTGGAGGTTTTCTACGACGAGCTGGATTCGCAATGGCGACCGCGGTCAAGCTGCTGATGGCGGACAGCTCGATGGACATGACCGCCATTCAGATTGTCAGCGACCAGCTGGCATGCATAGACGTGGCGATGGAGAAGATCACGAGTCTGACGAAGGTGAGAATCGACACCGAGGAGCAGATCGTGAACACCTACGCGGTATCAGCAGCAGGAGGCCAGCCGAACTTCCAAGAGAGGATCGACCAGGCAGACGAACCACACCCAGTACCTGGAGAGCATCAGGCACAAGAATCTGACGAACCCCTGAGCACTCCAGTGAGCTCAACGAGCAGACCGACACCAGGGACGTGGTCGAGGACGGAGCCCAGCAGACCAAGTACAGACTACCTGGAAGAACAACACAGAGACAGACCTACAGAAGATACGAGATCGCGCAGAGCAGATCGCAGCGTTGCGGGTAAGCTGCGAGAACATGGAAGCGGCCTACTGGGACTATATGGATTTCTGTTTGGACTGGGCCCTACATCGTTTCCAGCAGCTCATGCACATCACCATGGAGATGGCACCTAACGGTCTCAGGAATCTGGCCTACGATCTATGCCAAGCAGCCCGGGACAGGGCCTCGGAGCTTCGTGACATCGTAAGGAGTACCTGCGGGCGCCAACCGATTGGAGTACGACCGACATGGTTGTGGACGCAACGCCGAGCTGGAACCAACTACGCTCCAGAGGGAGTTGGGCGGCAGCAACCTTGCGAGGAGCTGGAAGAAATCGAAGCCTACGCAGTGCGAAAAGGACATTCCAGATGGACCTGCTGTACTGGACACTGCGTGCCTACGTGGATGTGGAGGTTCAATATCGCTGGACGGCTACACAGAGGACGGCAGAGTCACCACGCGGATGAGAGGATCATCCATGCGCTTCCGAGGCGCGAATGATAGCGCCCCGGTCATGGCAGAAGGAGAACAAGAGGTGACGGCTGGACGTGCTGGAGCTGACGTGAACCTACGCTTCCAGGGGTTGCCGCAGTCAAAGATGCCAATACTGCTGAGCATCCACCAGCTGGAAGAGCTCGACACAGTGATATACATCAAGGATCGGAAGGCGGACTTCAAGGCGATCAACAAGTACGGAGTGCCTCTCAACAAGACGGAGAAGGGGCACCTGACGATCTCGCTCAAGGAGTGGCCGAAGAAGGAGGCGACAAAGATCGAGCCATCAGTCGCGTCCGACGAGATCGACATCTGGAATGCGGAGGTCCAGGAGATCGATAAGGGTATCCCACGACGGAAGCAGAGGAAGCAGATCGAGACGCGGGAGAAGGAGATTCAGGACAAGCTGGACCAGTGCCAGCAGATCGTGGACACGCTGAAGGCGGACCCGGAGGAGAAGCGGCCCATCATCCGCGAGCTCTACGCAGGTGGCATGGCAGCCGCATCAGAAGCTCAGCAGCGGCGGCATCCAGCGACGAGGCCGAGGGACATCCTGATCGGGGACGACCTGCTGGACGCGAAGTCGCAGAAGATCGTCCTGAAGCAGCTGAACGAGGATGACCCCTATATGACCAATGTGGGTTTCCCCTGCGACCCGTTCACGAACATATCCCACATGTTCCCGAAGGACACGAAGATGCGCAAGTTGGCGATCGGCATGAAGCACCTGCAGCTTGTCAAGAAGATCTGGCTCAACTGCAAGCGCCGAGGAGCTCATATGCTACTGGAAAACCCACTGACGTCAAGAGCCTGGCAGCTTATGCCATGGCTGGGCTCAGAGTTCGCGAGCGCGATGATGCACCAGTGCGCCGAAGGCAGCAACCTGGTGGACTTCATGGGCGATCCAGTCAAGAAGCCGACGAGATTCCTGACGACGGCCATCATGCTCGGCAAGAAGCTGAACAGCATCAGGTGCGACGAGCAGCACGTACGCGCGAGCGTGATCAACAGGCCGAAGGGAACAGCATCGAGCCTTGGGAATTGGACCAAGGAGCTGGCCAAGGCGATCTTGGACGGCATCGAGGATCAGCGAGACCTCGAGAAGCAGCATGGTGGCTACGCCCAGTACGCCACCAATTTCGACGACATCGACTGTGACGAGTTCGAGGCCAACCATGCGGAGACGGAGGCGCCGATGCACGCTAGCGCGGCGGCGATCTTCAGCAAGCACGGCGAGAACATCGAGATGTCGGAATGGATGGCGGCGCCATCGCTCATGCGAGCAGCTATCAAGAAGACACACGAGAGCCATTCACATGGACCCTACAAGGAGTCACTGGCACGGTATCTACAGCATGGTGGAGCTAGCCGACGAGCGGTACAAGCAGCACGTCTCTTCAGATGCACGACATGTGAAGAGCAGGCTCGGACGGCAGCGAGACCTACGGCAGCTCAGCCTAAGGTTAAGGACTTTAACGAAGCCATCAGCATGGACTTCATGATCATACCCGACCTGGACAAGAATATGCACGTGGTGCTTGTTATCGTGGACGTGGTTTCGGACTTCACCGTGGCGATCTACACGTGTCCCGGATCGAGACCTACGGCAGAGTTAGCAAAGAAGGCTTTCGAACTCGGATGGCTTACCTGGGCCGGGCCACCACGCATCGTGGAGCAGGACCAGGACTCTACCTTTATGGGCGAGTTCGAGACGCCGTGCAACGACCTGGGCATTGTGATTAACAACGCGGCTCCAGAGGCTCACTGGCAAATGGGCAAAGTCGAGAGGAAGATACGATACCTGAAGGAAATGGCAACGAGTGTCTTTAACGCTGGGGAAGTTCGTGGTCAAGATTCGATTGCAGCAGCAGCGCGCGGCATGGCCAACGCTTGCAATCAACTTGTCAGCACGGCAGGCTTCTCACCACAGCAATGGGTACTTGGAGCTGGACACCGACTGCCTGCAAGTTTGGC